GAATTCTGTGGCCCTGAGTAACAATTCTGTGTCTGTGCGAGTAACAATTCTGTGTCTGTGCAAGTAACAATTTTGTGTCTGTGCGAGTAACAATTCTCTGGCACTCAGTAACAATTCTGTCTGTCCCTGAGTAACAATTCTCTGGCACTCAGTAACAATTCTGTCTGTCCCTGAGTAACAATTCTCTGGCACTCAGTAACAATTCTGTCTGTCCCTGAGTATGAATTCTGTGGCACCCTGAGTAACAATTCTGTGTCTGTGCGAGTAACAATTCTGTGTCTGTGCAAGTAACAATTTTGTGTCTGTGCGAGTAACAATTCTCTGGCACTCAGTAACAATTCTGTCTGTCCCTGAGTAACAATTCTCTGGCACTCAGTAACAATTCTGTCTGTCCCTGAGTAACAATTCTCTGGCACTCAGTAACAATTCTGTCTGTCCCTGAGTAACAATTCTCTGGCACTCAGTAACAATTCTGTCTGTCCCTGAGTAACAAGTAACTGGCACTCAGTAACAATTCTGTCTGTCCCTGAGTAACAATTCTCTGGCACCTCAGTAACAATTCTGTCTGGCTCTGGCACTCAGTAACAATTCTGTCTGTCCCTGAGTAACAATTCTCTGGCACTCAGTAACAATTCTGTCTGTCCCTGAGTAACAATTCTCTGGCACTCAGTAACAATTCTGTCTGTCCCTGAGTAACAATTCTGTCTGTCCCCTGAGTAATGAATTCTGTGGCCCTGTAAGAATTCTCTGGCACTCAGTAACAATTCTGTCTGTCCCTGAGTAACAATTCTCTGGCACTCAGTAACAATTCTGTCTGTCCCTGAGTAAAAATTTCTGTGGCCCTAATAACGTTTCTGTGGCCCTAAGTAACAATTCTCTGGCACTGAGTAACAATTCTGTCTGTCCCTGAGTATGAATTCTGTGGCCCTAACTAGCGTTTCTTTGTCCCTAAATAACGATTCTGTGGCCCTCATTAACAAGTCTGTGTCCCTGAGTAATGGTTCTCTGTCCCTAAGTAACTTCTCTCTGTCCCCAATTCTCGTTTCTGTGGCCCTAACTCTGTCCCTGTCCCTAGTACAGAGCGGTCTGCCTCTGTTCAATGACTGCAGGCAAATGAAGATTTCCAAAATGGCCGCTATATATACCTCGACCATTACACAGTGCTGGCTGGCTGGCTGCTGATTGGCTGATGCGATCACATGTCGTTGAGGAATGCATTATGGGGCAGCGCGCCCTTGTCTGCGCGCCTTCCCCGACATCCCCGCTCCGTCGCCGCACATGTCAGCCGCCATTTTCGGAAAAATTTCGATTCGCGCGTCCGAATTAGGCTGTTTTTCGGATTCGGCACGAATCGAAATTTTTCCGATATTCGCTCATCTCTACTTATGACAAACAAGACAAAGTGTTCCTTGGCAAATGCACCATGAAATTCCACCCATATTACCTATGTAGAAAAATAACTATACCTATAATTATTTCAGAAATAGGTCAAATATGGTCCTTGACATGTGTATTCACAACAATCCACCCATAACCCCTATGTAGATAAATAACTATTCTTATCAGAAAAGAGTCACATGTGTTCCTGCATGCTTAACCATGATATTCCACCCATAATCAACCTGTAGAAAAATAATTATAGAAAAAAAAATATATAATGGCGCCTATGGAAAAGGAAAAAGAATATCTATATATATATCTATAAATCACTTATTATAATATACCAGCTGCAAAAAAAAACCACCAAAATCAATAAGGTGTAATAAATAACTCAAAAAAATTATTTTGCGCTAGTAGATATAAAATTATCTCAATAAATCAAACATATAAATGGTGCAAAAAAAGTATATATGTGAAAAAATGTCCACACTTTAAAAAATATAACACAAAAAACTAGCAAAAAATATATATATATATAAAGTGACAATGCCACCACCAAAAAATAAATAAACTCACCAGAGCTAAAAAATATAATATTTTTTGTCAAACCATGTATTGCTCTGGGAACAGTAGTATTAACGATAAGTCATTCATAGATGCATCTTCAAAGAATAGTATTCTGCAGAACAGAACCCAGATCCACATAGACCAATTTCAGATGGAGCAAGTTACTTTCAAATTATTTATCATCAAGGAAATCCACTTCTTAAGAAAGCCACCTTCAAACGTATCCAAAGAGGGAAATGCCAGACACTCGGAAGAAACAGAAGAGCTTCATGGTGCAGTATTATTAAAACAACATCTTTATTCAGTACTCATTGTACTTAACTCAAAGGGTGTCCCAGCCGACACCAGCATTAACAGCAATCACAGCAAAACAGACCCAGCTACTCGGCACATGCGCAGTAGCTCATTGGAACCGTAATAACGTCACATCGATCAAGCTCCGCCCTACGCGTTTCGTCCGACGTCCTCCGCGAGGAGGACGTCGATGATCAGAATGGGGTCAAATGTGTTCCTAGGCATGTTTATCCATGATATTCCACCCATAATCCCCATGTAGAAAAATGACTATACCATATTCTTACAAGAAACATGTAAAATATTGTCCTTGGCATGTGTACCTGCAATCATCCACCCATAATCCCCATGTAGAAAAATAACTATACCCATAATCTTTTCAGAAATGGATGAAATATGATCCTTGGCAAAAATGCACCCATAAAATTTTCATGTAGAAAAATAAATTATATGTATTTGAATATCCGAAATAGGTTAAGAGTTACCATGATATCCACCATAATCCCAGATATAAAAGCAATTTTACCCATATTATTATCTAAAAAGGTGAAATGTAATGTGTATGGGATGTGTAACCATTATATTCCCCCCCCCCCCCCCCCCCCCATAATCCCCAAGCAGATCCATAGTAACCACGTTGTTAACAAAAAATGCATCATTTTTTTTCCCTTGGCATTTGTAATTTTGTAATCTTCATTTTTCAATCTGTTCCTAGTAATATATGGAGTAATGTCTCCATGATTTCTGTATATAATTTCCTATGATGCCATGTTACAGCCGCACATATATCAGTCAGTGAAGAGTTAAACATTCGCCTCTACTACGTGTAACAATGTATCAAGCAGAGCAGAAAAGAGAAACAAGAAAATCCTTCCCGTCTATGTGTGTAATATATAGTGACACCTAATGGGAGTGTTGAGCATTGCAGCCAATCATCCCATCCCCCCAATATGCAGGTTAGTCCGTCCCGGATAGAGAGGAGCCGTGCTTTGTGGATAGAGAGGAGCGGTGCTCTTGGGGGGAGAGAGGAGCGTTGCATGACAGCTGACAAATACATCACCTGGGAGACTTCACCCTTTGATGAATATAACTCTTTCTGGTCATATTCTGGTGACAACTCAACATTTGGCAATATTTCTTTACTTTCCCTCTACCTGATAACACTAAACAGGACAAAGACCGAAGATGGAGCGCAGAGAGCAGAAAAAACGCTGCAATCCTCATTTTTTACCGAAATAGAAAAAGTTTTTGTGTGTGTTTTTCTCTGTACTTCACATCATTTGTGCACTTTCATTTTTGCCCTCAATGCCACATGACAAACAAACACAAAAACAGTCTTATAGGTGTGTGTGTTTGGGTGGGGGGGGGGGGGGGGGGGGGTACACGTCTTCCCTGTGACTTCTAGGGCACTAGGCCATGGTTTATCTGGGGAGGGGATTGTATCCGGATTAGAATCATTGTAACAAGTGAATCCTGTCGGCGATACTTTGTTGTTTTCAGGTCCATCGTTTGGTGTATTCCCTTCTTGTCGGTGCAATTCTTTCTCCTTGGACTGAGGAGAAGGGAACACCCTGGAGGCTTTTACATGTTAGTACAAAGAAGAGAAGTGTCAGGGTCAGTAGACATGTGTTGGTCTTAGAGGAACCCCACCGCTCATTCCCCCCCAAATAGCCGACATTTCCTCTCCACATTCCCCACATGATAGACAAGAATGGGATTTGCAGCAAACTTCCTATTCCTGAAATGATCTCTCAGGGAATCCAAATGTGATGGATTGACTTCCATCACTGAAAGCATCAAATCCTATTGTAGATCCGAGGATTCCGAGCAAACCTCCCCCCTGAGCAGTCTATGGAGCTGTGGAGTGAAATGCGTCAATCAAGTCATTGGCAGGATTTGGCTCTCAATGTCCATTTGTGATGATGATCCAATAATGACCCCTACACCTGACACCCTGTAATGGGCGGAGCCCTTTGTATCTGTCCCAATGTCTGCCACGACAGGACACAAGGATCTCCTGTGATCGGCCGATGTTTTTGTTCCCGGCTCCTTGTAGTCAGCTAGAGATGAGCCGAGTTGTGTATTAGAGGGAAATGTTTGGTGATCTCCCCTCTTCTCTCGTGTAATGTGAAGCGGATTGTAGTGGGGGATGGAGCAGATTGTTTTGTGGGTAGAATGTGTCCCCCCCCCCCCCAGGGGCGGACTGACCATTTGCAAACCCGGGCACTGCCCGAGGACCCAGGGTCAGTAGGGGGCCCCATGAGATGCCCCTGGTACCTTTTTCATAGGCATTTTTGAGGGCAAGAACACAGGGGCCTCATGATCCCCTATTGCCCGGGGGCCCCATGAGTTGTCAGTCCGCCCTTGGTCCCCCCAAGCAGGTAGAAGGCAGAATGGGCCCCCCACTCCGGAGGATGGTTGTGTTTGCAGCCTCTGTGTTCAGCCTCGTGAGCAGCTCCTGACAGCTGGAAGTGACCCCCGATAAGTGACAGTCCAGGGAGCAGATCGGCTCCCCGGTGCACATCGGACATCGTTCTATTTCGGAATAAAATCGGTTTTATATCCTCTACCGGGAAACACAACGAGAGAGAGAAGATTCTCAGACTGTGGACTGACATCCAGTGGGCGTGTGTGATGTGTAACCAATAGCAGGACAGAGTGGAGTTGTGTGACAACCAATCGCAGTGTTACAAGGTCTGTATATAAGGCGGAGCGCCGTGTGATTTGGAATGAACTATTGTGGAAACATTTCACGAGTCATGACGGAGACTGAGAGCGCCCCAGCCGCCGCTCCTCCAGCGGAGGCCGCCGCCAAGAAGAAGCCGGCTAAGAAGGCGTCAGCCGGAGGAGCCAAGAAAGGCATCAAGAAGGCGTCCGGTCCCGCCGTGTCCGAGCTCCTGGTCCAAGCCGTGTCCGCTTCCAAGGAGCGCAGCGGGGTGTCCCTGGCCGCCCTCAAGAAGGTCCTGTCCGCCGGAGGATACGATGTGGACAAGAACAAGAGCCGCCTGAAGATCGCCCTCAAGGCGCTGGTGACTAAGGGGAGCCTCGTCCAGGTCAAAGGCCATGGGGCCTCCGGATCGTTCAAGATCAACAAGAAGCAGCCCGACGGCGCCAAGGCGAAGCCCAAGAAACCGGCAACTAAGAAGGCCACCAAGTCCCCAAGAAGAAGGCGGCCGGCAAAGCCCCCACCGCAGCCAAGAGCCCCAAGAAGGCCGCCAAGTCCCCCAAGAAGAAGGCGGCCAGCAAAAACAACCACCGCAGCCAAGAGCCCCAAGAAGAAGCCGGCCGCCAAGAGACCAGCAAAGGCTGCCGCCAAGAAGGTGACCAAGAGCCCCAAGAAGAGCAAAGCTGCAGCCAAGCCGAAAAAAGGCGCCAAGAGTCCCGCTAAGGCCAAGCCGGCAGCTAAGAAGGCGGCTAAGCCCAAGAAGGCCGCTCCGAAGAAGAAATAATGGGCGGCGACCTCCTTCATCTCCACCCCCAAAGGCTCTTCTCAGAGCCCCCCCCTCCCCCCAACAGAGCTCTCCATACATACACAGACATCGCTGAGTGCGCACTGCTCCGCATGTTATCTGTTCCCGATATAGAAGATCTAATGGAAGACAATTCCCACACACTGCCTGATCTCTGGGGGGGGGGGGGGGGGGGGCACTAAATGTCCCCATTTCCTCCTACATTGTGAACTCCAAGCAGCCAGCCCTCCTATCCCTCTTGTATTGTCTCCCGTTATATTGTACAGCGCTCAGTATACTGTCGGCGCCATAAATCCTGTATAATAATAATAGGCGATCATTCCTTCATTTCAGGATCTCATGCGGCCATTCTGAACGTTCTAATCCCAATGATCGGGAGACATCATCCTCTGGACGGGTTAGAATGATCAGCCCCCCCCCCCCCCCCCCCCCCATGTGGATTCTTCTCATCTTCCGAGATTACAGAGTTCTCCCTCGAAGAATAAATGTAATACCGGAGGAGGGAATAGAGGACATGACTGACCCCCCCAATAGTGACATCTCCGTGTGGAAGGCTTACCCCCCCCCCCCAATATATTCTAATCAGGTGATCGATCCTCAGATCTCTCTTCCTAATGATTTATCAAAGATGAGATTATCTGAGTGCTTGGGGTAACAGTTATGTATCTAAACGATCCGATAAATAATCGTGTGTGTGTGGAAGATGTGTCATCGGCGGATGATACATTGTAGCGAGTTATGGAATAGATCTACAAGAGGAAATGTGTCGCTCAGGAGAGTCAATTGTTATTGAGAGACGAATTGAAGATCCTTCTAGTGCTCAGCCCCAAGTTCCCCCCCCCCCCATGTACAGACGGCGCTGCGTTGTGTAAACCGGTTTGGTTCTTTACATGTTGTAATGGGCGCCTCCAGATTGCGCTGAATTGTAAAAGGCGCCATGAGGGGGAAAGGCGGAGAAGTCCCGGTACAGAGCTCTGTGTGGGGGGAGGTTGTGGCTCTGAGAAGAGCCGTTGGTTGGCGGGTTGTGTGGAATGTCTGTTGCGGGGGGTCTAGGCCCTCTCTCCGCGGATGCGGCGTGCCAGCTGGATGTCTTTGGGCATGATGGTGACCCTCTTGGCGTGGATGGCGCAGAGGTTGGTGTCCTCGAAGAGTCCGACGAGATAAGCCTCTGCGGCCTCCTGCAGAGCCATGACGGCGGAGCTCTGGAAGCGCAGGTCGGTCTTGAAGTCCTGGGCGATCTCTCGGACGAGGCGCTGGAAGGGCAGCTTGCGGATGAGCAGCTCGGTGGATTTCTGGTAGCGGCGGATCTCTCGGAGAGCCACGGTGCCGGGCCTGTAGCGGTGAGGCTTCTTCACTCCGCCGGTGGCCGGGGCGCTCTTGCGGGCGGCTTTGGTGGCCAGCTGCTTGCGGGGAGCTTTCCCTCCGGTGGACTTACGGGCGGTCTGCTTGGTACGAGCCATCTCTACTCCTCTCTTGCCTGGGAACTGCGAACTGTAATGCGCCGCTCCGCTCTGCAGAGATTTATACACATCCCTGCTCCTCTGATTGGAGAACTACGTCACGCCCCTTCTAATGATTGGGTTACTTAAAAAGAGCGGGATTTTCAAAATGCCCGCCAGGATCTGCACGTTATCTGTGTAGGTAGAGAAGCCCGCTGTGTCAGGGGTGGGGGGAGGGGAGTTCCTCCACATCATACAATGCTCGGAGCTCTCCTTACTACCAAAGAAGAGAAGATTAATCAGAGATCTGCTAATAATCAGAGATCAGAGACTCCCTGTACAATGTAACAATTACATCCATTGACATCGGACTGGATTCCTCCATAATACAGTGAATGGGATGACAGAAGATCCTCCTCCGATCTCACGGATCCGATGATTCCTCTGTTCGGGACTAAGAAGCAGAACGTTTGTCGCCCATCTCGGTCCATCCAGCACAATTGTGGACTAACAGGGATAGTCAGAAGGGCTGCAATGTATTGTCTATAGAAGAGCGAGATGACAAGAGACATGACTTGTGTGCGGATCTGGGAGGAGATACAATGTGATTTCTGCCTTTTCTCTCCGAATCCCACTTCCAAGGACAATCCGATCCCGGCGAGGACAGTGTGGACTTTGATGGCACAATGACAATCTATCGCTGAGGATGTGAGGAGGCGGACATCTAGTCTGCAGCAATTCATCCCATTCATTTTACATTTACGAGTTTATTTGTAACAAACATTATTTTATTTATATGTCTTATATTTTCATCTGATCGGATTTTTTTTCCTTAATTCCCGCCAAGATCTGCACGTTATCTTGGTTAATATCCCGATCTCTCTGGGAGGTCTCTTTACTACCAGTTGGGAAAACATTGATAAGAAAGATGTTTATAATTCAAGATCAGAACTTCTCAACAATGTAAGAATTGTATACTCCGAGAGAGGACTATTTCTGTCCATAATTCAGTAAATTAGATGACAAAGCAAAGAGGGAGGGAAATAGGCCCAATGCATCTACCCCAGCCAAATAATATTAGAATAAGAGGAGTCCCAGAGCTGCTACAGGGGGAAGATTTAAAGGAGACCACAGGCAAAATTTTGAACTCCATAATGGATAGATCTGGTGCGGAGATGTTTAAATTGGATGGAGTGTACAGGATAGGAAAGATCCAACAAGTAAAAGGCCCAGAAAAATCAAGAGATATAATCGTTCAATTCCATAATTATAGAGATAAAGATGAGATATGGAAGAAGATTAAAGGAAGAACAAATATCAAATATGGAGGGAAAAATATTCAAATCTTTGCAGACATAGCAGCCGAGACATTGAGAAGAAAGAGGTCATTGAAACCATTATTGGAATTGTTGAAGAAACAGAATGTGCAATATAGATGGGGTCGTTCAGCATGTTTAATCGGTTGGAGAGATGGAGTCACAGCATTTTTGAGATCCCCCTGAAGATATGAAAGACTTCTGTAATAAATTTGAACTGCAGAGAATAGAGATCCCGGGATGGGAAGAGGAGGAGGGAGAGTCATATATATGTTGGGAAAAGAGGAATGGCAGCTAGTTAGAAGAGAAAATAGAGAGCATATAGATAGAGGGACACTGGGGAGGAGGAGGGGAAGGTGAGCGGTACATGGACGGAGCTGAGCCCCAGGTTGGAATCAAAAGTGGGACTTTTTCCACAAATGATTCATAGGCAAACAAAAAGCCTAACAGGGGAGAGGGGGCAGGGGAGAGGGGTATCTATGGAGGGGTGGGACCCTCAAAAGATGAATAGGCAAATGGAAAGCCTAAACAAGGGAGGGGGGGGGGGTGAGAGGTGGAGGGAGAGAACTGGGGTGGGAGTGGGGAGAGGGGGGGGTTTTAAAACTGACATCTTGTATGAGAGAAGAGGTATAAGGAAGGGGAAGAAGAAAGGAAATAGTAAAATAGGAAGAAGACAAATAAAATATGGAGGAAATACGGTTTGTAACCCATAATGTAAATGGATTAAATTGCTCAGGTAAAAGATTTAGACTATATAGAGAATTACAACATAGAGAGGCCTCAGTTGTCTTTTTGCAGGAAACACATCTAGAGTTAAAAAAAAAAATATGATATTAAGCTGAACTCTAGGCAACACCCGACATGGTATTATGCAGATTCCCCAGTTAAGAGAGCGAAGGGCGTGGCTATAGGATTTGTAAAAAACGTTAGGTTTGAATTGGAAGATAGAAAGACAGACCCGGGAGGGGAGGTTTTTGTTCTTGAAAGGTAAACTACAGGACATAGAATGTACGCTCGCAAACATATATTGCCCTAATAGGAAGCCGGATATGTTTTTGAAAGGGGTTATGAGAAGATTGATGGACTTTGGAAAGGGATATTTAATAGTGGCGGGAGACTTTAACATATGTTGTTGTTGTACTGTGCCATGTATTGTCCCCCCTATTGTACAGCGCTGAGCAAACCCTTTGGCGCTATATAAACTCGTAGTAATAATAATAATAATAATATGTATGGACCCACAAATAGAGACAACATCTGTAGTGCAGAGAGGGGGAAATAGGTCCATGGGATTATTGAAAAGGTGATGAAAGAGTGCCAGCTGGTGGATAGCTGGAGAATTGTCAACACGAGAGATAGAGATTACACTTTTTTCTCTAGTGTATATAGGACATACTCTAGATTGGACTATATATTGGTGGACCATTGATTCGTTGAGGATTTGGTTAGGGTAAAAATAGAAGCAATAACTTTTTCGGATCATGCACCCGTAGTAATGAAATTAAGATGGGGAGGGAAGTTGTCAGGAGGCCTATCATGGAGGTTGAATGAGGCACTCCTGATGGACCAAGATACCGACCGGAAGATCAGGGAGGAGATAGAGAGGTTCTTTGAGGAAAATGAAACGGGGGATGTATCACTAGCTACAGTGTGGGAGGCACATAAAGCATACATAAGAGGAATCCTTATTGCGATTGGGGCAAGGAAAAAAAAAGGGAAAGACGAGAGAAGATTAGTGGGATTTTGAAGGAAATAGCTGAGATGGAACTCCTACATAAAAATAACATAAGGAAAGAGATAGAGCAAAGAGTGATAAAAAAGAGGGAAGAACTAGAGAAAGTAATGGAGAAAGAAAAAATGAGAAACTTTTAATAAGATCATTGGGGAAAGATATAGATGGGGAGATAGATCGGGAAAATATCTGATGAGAGCCTTGAGGAGAAAGAAGAATAGGAACTACATAGAAAATAAAAAAACTCCAAGGGAGAGTTAGTCCATTCAACCAAAGACATTGCAAAGGTATTTAAAGATTACTACAGTAAGTTATATAATATTGCCTCCAACGATGCTATAAATAAAGATTAAATGGTAAATATTGAAAAAAGAAGGGACTATTTAAGAAATGCAGGATTACCAAAACTAAGTGAAGAACTATTAAACTCCTTAGAATCTGAAATTACACAGGAAGAACTAAAAATAGCATTAAAAAGCTTTATGACGGGAAAAAGCCCAGGCCCAGACGGGTACACCGTGAGGTATTATAAAAAATATAGTGACTTACTGTTACCTAAGTTAAATATATATATGGAGGCGTTGGGGGGAGAGATGGAGATAAGACAGGAATCCCTTCTGGCACAGGTGGTTTTAATACATAAGGAAGGTAAAGACATCACCCAATGCTCAAGTTATAGACCGATATCGCTATTGAACATAGACACGAAGTTGTATGCAAAAGTATTGGCGAATAGGTTAAAAGATCTGATGCCAGATTGGATACATGGAGATCAAGTGGGCTTTGTTAGAGGAAGAGAGGGTCGAGATAATGGGTTGAGATCCCTGCTGCTTATACAGAAAAGTAAAATGGAAAACAATCCAGTAGTGCTGCTCTCGATAGATGCGGAGAAGGGCGTTTGACAGGGTTAACTGGAGTTTCATGATGGATACACTGGAGGTCCTGGGATTGGGTATTAGGATGAGAAAGTGGATTGGAAAGTTGTATGAAGGACCGTCCGCGATGGTAATGGTAAATGGAGAGAGATCAGAGACTTTTTCAATGTTAAATGGAATCAGACAGGGCTGCCCACTTTCCCCATTGTTGTTTGTTCTATCATTGGAACCCCTGTTATCAACAATTAGGAAAAACATAGATATAAGGGGAATTAATGTTGGAAAGACAGAACATAAGATAGCCGCTTTCGCGGACGATTTATTATTCTATGTTGGAAACCCTAGGATAACACTTCCTAACCTAATGAAAACACTGAAGGAATATGGGGAGATGTCAAATCTAAAAATTAACCCGAGCAAAACAGAGATATTAAATATAAATCTTCCAAAGAGTGAAAAAGAAAAGATACAGAGAGAATTTCCCTTTATATGGAAAGATAGAGAAATAAAGTACCTGGGAGTAAAAACTTATGCAGGCCATAGATAGGTCGAAAAACGGCAGATTTTTCTTTTAAAAAACGAAAAATCGGTCGTTCAAGCGGCCGACGTTACCATCAATGGTAAAAAAAATCGGCCGATTTTCATCCAGTCTACAGCCGGCAAAAGTGTCCTTGCAGAGAGCTCCGCTATTTCTGACAGTTCTCTGACAGTTCCTTGACATTTACAGCGGTTGCAACATTGTATCTATTTGTTTCCATTTAGGATACAGATGTTTTTATTCGTAAACAAATAGATACAATGTTGCAACCGCTGTAAATGTCAAGGAACTGTCAGAGAACTGTCAAAGAATTAGCAGAGCTCTCTGCAGGACACTCTTTGCTGGACTGGAATTCCTCTTATTTTCATCCTACTTCTTCTTCTTCATCCTCATACTCTCTTCTTCTTCTTCTTCATCCTCATCCTCTTCTTCTTCTTCTTCATCCTCATTCTCTTCTTCTTCTTCTTCATCGTCTTCTTCATCCTCATCCTCTTCTTCTTCTTCTTCTTCTTCTTCTTCTTCCTCTTCCTCATCCTCATCATCTTCTTCTTCTTCATCCTCATCCTCATCTTCTTCTTCTTCATCCTCATCCTCTTCTTCTTCATTATCCTCTTCTTCTTCTTCTTCTTCTTCTTCTTCTTTTTCTTCTTCTTCTTCTTTCTTCTTCTTTTCTTCTTCTTCTTCTTCTTCTTCTTCTCCTCATCTCTTCTTCTTCATCCTCTTTCTTCTTCATCCTCATCTCTTCTTCTTCTTCTTCATCCTCATCCTCTTCTTATTCTCCTTCTTCTTCATCATCCTCTTCCTCTTCTTCATCCTCATCCTCTTCTTCTTCTTCTTCCTCAATCCTCTTCTTCTTCTTCATCCTCTTCTTCTTCCTCTTCTTCATTCTCTTCTTCATCCTCTTCCTCTTCTTTTTCTTCTTTTTGTCTTGCTCTTGCAGGTCACTGCTCATGCGCAGATTTTTTATCGGTAAAAAAAATCGGCCAATTTGCCCACTAATTGCCGCAAAAAATCGGCCGATCGGCTGATTTTTTTCCAACTTTACCAAAAAAAAAAAAACGTCTAAAATACCGAAAAAAACGGGCCGAACAAAGAGCCCACTAACGATCCGAAAATCGGCCGATTTTATTTTCGGCCGAAAAGCGGCCGATTTTCGACCCATCTATGGCCTGCATTACTCCCTCACAGAAAAAATCTTTATAAAGCTAATTATATCCCATTGCTAAACGAGATTAGGGAGGAATTGAAGAAAATTGGTGGAGGAAAATCCTTCCTGGCTAGGTCGTATTAACCTGATAAAAATGGTAATTGTCCCTAAGATACTGTATAAATTCCAGATGATTCCCATTAATCTAACAAAATATATATGGAAAAATAAAAAAACTAGGATATCATATGAAGTGCTAAGTAGAAATAAAGAAAAAGGGGGGTTGGGAGTACCGGATTTTAAAAGATACCATAGGGCAGTCATCTTAGCAAGAATTTTTGACTGGACACATAACTCAAAGAGTAAACATTGGGTCACAATTGAAAATACACTTAGTAGAAAGGATCTGAGTAGGAGTGTATGAGTGCCAGCACAGTTTAGAGAATTAGAGGAGAGCACGAGTATATACACGAGGATTGTAATAAGGGAGTGGGATAAAATGTACAAACAGAGGAAATGGGATTTTAATTCATTGTTAATGCCACTAAGAAATTCAGAGTTTTTTCCCCCAGGTAAAGAGGACATTACAGGTAGATGGATTATAAAGGAAGACGTTCAGTTGAGAGATGTAATGGAGGGGGTAAAACTTAAGAACACTGGAGGATCTGAAAAGGGAAGAGGGAAAGATTTTCACTAGGATAGATATATGGAGATATAATCAACTGAAACAATTTGTGGAGAAATTCACGAAGCCCCTTAGAACCAGGAAAGAGTGGAATTAATTTGAGAAATACTTAGAAGCTCGAGGTGATGGGAAACACAGCACTGCCAAAGCATATAAAGCTCTCACGGATTTAGATAGTAAGTTTAAATTAAAGTATATAGAAAAATGGGAAAGGGACTCAGGAGTGGAGTGGGAAGAGCACACACAGAGGAAAATATATAGAATGGTACACGAAAATATTAGCATGCGTGAGGTGGAAATTAATTTCAAATGTTTGACAAGGTGGTATGTTACACCGATGATAGAGCACAAGATGAGTGAGGAGAAGCAACCTTGGTGTTGGCGAGGGTGTGGAGGGTTGGGCACAATGTATCACATATGGTGGGAATGCTTAAAAATACAAGAATATTGCAAAAAAAGTTATAAATCAAATTAGGATTATTACTGGAATGGAGATCGGACTGGACCCTGAAACCTGCCTTTTTCATAATTCAATAATATCTGGAAATAAATATAAAGAGCTGGGTATATTGTGCTACCTAAATGCAGCAAAAAGTTTGATTCCCAGGTTTTGGCGCAAAGTTGAGGCACCGAGAGAAGAGGATTGGATGAATAGAGTGGACCAGATTGCTAGATTGGAAAAACTTTATTATACACAGGAAGATAGAATGGTGGCATATTATAGGAAATGGGAGAAATGGGAAGAGTTTAAGGTAAAGGTAAAAGAAGGTACTGAGTAAATAAACCTAAAGAAAAGAGAAGGAGAGAATGAGAAGAGAGGAGGGGAAAAGGGAAAGGAAGAGAGGAAAGGGAGAAAAATACAGTAATTTGTCACTTTCTTTTTCTTTCTTTCAAATCTTTATATCCAGAGGATGTGAGATGTTAGTCGAGTAGATAGATGTCAGGGGTTTAAAGAAATGGGGTGGGGTGGAGGGTGGGTTGAGAGGAAGGGAATTATGGGGAGAAAATGATACGAAATAAGTGTTTTTATGAGATCTTGTTATGTTTTACTTTTATTGTGAATTTTGTATTGGTTTATTTGAAAATGAATAAATATTTTAAATTAAAAAAAAAAAAAAAAAGAGTTCCCTTTACTGGAACTAAGGGGCCAAGCCTGAAAAACAACCCCACACCATAATCCCCCCTCCACCAAACTTTACACTTGGCACAATGCAGTCAGGTAAGTACTGCTATCCTGGCAACTTCCAAACCCAGACACGTCCATCAGATTGCCAGACAAAGAAGTGTGATTGTTCACTCCAGAGATCACATCTCCACTGCTCTAGAGTCCAGTGGCGGCGTGCTTTACACCACACCATCTGACGCTTTGCATTGCACTTGGTGATGTAAGGCATGGAATGCAGCTGCTCAGCCATGGAAACCCATTCCATAAAGC